ACTCGCTACGAAATTTTCTTGGAACATGATGTGCCCTTGATCACATAGATTCAAAGATACGATTTAGGAAAACTAAAATTTTCTAGAATTACACTATTTCAGACTGTTCCATTTCAGGGTTTTTGGTTTTTTGTTTGTTTTTTGGTTTTTTTGAGACAGATTGTCATTCTGTTGCCTAGACTGGAGTGCAGTGACGTGATCTCAGCTCACTGCAACCTCTGCCTCTTGGGTTCAAGTGATTCTCCTGCCTCAGCTTCCTAAGTAGCTGGGATTACAGGCATGTGCCACCACGCCCAGCTAATTTTTGTTATTTTTAGTAGAGATGGGGTTTCACCATGTTGGACAGGCTGGTCTTGAAACCCTGACCTCAAGTGATCCACCTGCCTCGGCCTCCCAAAGTGCTGGGATTACAGGCGTGAGCCACCGCATGTGGCCTCATTTCAGCTTTCATTTTATTGCTTTCACTCTAATCCTTTACCTCTTTATTTCCATTTGTTTTTATTCTCCCTTATGCCTTATTGCTTTTTGCTTTCATTTTTATGATATTTTCTTCTTTCCTGAGGTCTTCAAACTTAATTTCCCTACTTTTTCCTTCCTGATCCCTTCTACGTCATGATCTTGTTTATATAAACAATCACTGGTTTTAGTTGTTACAAATTGGTTGCAGTGTTTATCCTCATATGGCAACATTTTGAGAGAAATGTCTTCCTGCCCTTGCTTTTCTTGCTCTTCCCCTTCTTCCTTTGTATGGTGCCTATGCGGTTTCTTCTTATCTTCAAGTATGCTTTTTCTGATCCAGCTATTTGGAAGAATTTAATATAGGTCTGGGAACAGGAATTTTCCTTGTGGTGACCTAAGTTTGAATGTGAGCATTATGAGCCTTTTCTTCACAGCCAAGTCAGCCAGGTGTCTCTGGCAGATGTCTGCCATGTGGTTTGTCAGGCTGGTTGCTCATTCATCCCTACTTCATCTGCAACTCTGAAGCAGCAGGGTTCTAGAAGACTTCAGTGCCAGTTCTTCCTTCTGGAGAACTCTCTGGCTTTTATGTTGAGGCTGTGCTCTCTGTACTCCATTCTCCTGGTTCCCTTTTTAAGCAGCCTCTGAAACTGACATTTCAAGGTTTCAGTTGTCTCTTATCAGAGGTTCATCTGTCCGTAGCCTCTGTGAGCCAGCTTCCTTAAACTGCAGAGGCCAAGCATGGTGGCTCAGGCCTGTAATCCTAGTACATTGGGAGGCTGAGGCGGGTGGATCACGAGGTCAGGAGATTGAGACCATCGTGGCCAACATGGTTGAAACCCTCTCTACTAAAAATACAAAAATTAGCTGGGTGTTGTGGCATGCGCCTATAATCCCAGCTACTTGGGAGCCTGAAGCAGGAGAATCACTTGAACCCAGGAGGCGGAGGCTGCAGTGAGCCAAGATTGTGCCACTGCACTCCAGCTGGGAGACAGAGCGAGACTCCATCTAAAAACAAACAAACAAAAATGAAGATACTTCCTACCTTGCACAATTGCAATTGTGAGTAGAGGAGAGAACATGTCTGTTAACAGCAGCATTTCTCAAACCATTGGCATGCATTCACGGCTGATTTGTTTTCCTTATTAACCTTTCCCTCCCTGCTTTCAGGTAGTTACTGCATGTGGTTAGACTACTGTCACATGCTCCACTGCCTCTGCACATGCTGTTCCCTCTGCCTATCAGCTTTTCTGGCAACCCTGGCCTTGTAACCAGTAGCCTTGCCATCCCTGTCCTCAGACACCCTGTCCATACGTCCAAGTTGGCGCTTGTCAGTCCAAGTCCAAGTCATAGAGTGATGATCTTTGTACAGTCACTATATAGCATTAAAGAGGATCCGTTGAATAAATGGAAATGAGTTTTCCATGTTCTTCAGCGTATCTTGCCCTAATCTAAGGGCTACACGCATCAAGTCTCCAACAGGAAACAAACGAGCCCTTTAAAGGGGCAGTGCCCTGCCAATTACCAGGGAAGGATTTTACCAGCTATCAGTGGTATACTTCTCCTCCACCACCACCCCGCCCTAACTGCCTCCCACATACCGCCAGAATGTACTGGAAAATGACTGTTTTACTCAATAGCAAGTTTACTTCTTCCTACCTCCCATTAACCAGGTTCAATGACCTCCTCCTACGATGCCGAGAACTCGATACTTGGACACAAGACCTTGTCCTTCCAGCTGTCGTGTGGCTCTCAGGCTTCTTCAACCCTCAGTCCTTCTTAACTGGTAAGGGTTGAGGCAGTGCAGTCCCCGATGCAGACAGGACCATACCCCCAGCAGAAGTCCTGCCTTGCTTTATGTATGACAGCATCACCTTGCCCTGCTCACCAATGCTCAAGCCGCAGCCATTACAGAAAGGACCAGCAGCTACAGAGGAAACAAAAAGTCCTGGGCAGGCGAGTAGCAGCAAAAGGGAAAGGACCTCCTACAGTGAGGTGGGGCACAGTGTGTACCCTGGTAAACATTTTCTGGAAAGGGCCACATGGTCTGTGGTGCAGCTACACTCCTGTTGTAGTGCAAAACCAACCACAGACAATACACAAATGGCTGTGGCTATTCCAGTAAAACTATTTACAGAAACAGCGAGCTTGCCCCGCAGGCCTTAGTTGGCCAGTCCCTGCTCCAGCACAGCCACGTGCAAACACCTGAGAACCTAAAACACCCTATGGGACTAAAGGATGCCTCAGTTTACTGGTAGTTCCTGGGAACCTTATATACAACGTTTTTACCCTATTGATCCTATTGCATTTTTGTTTTTCCAAAGCAATCATGCAGACAATGGCTCGAAAAAATGAGTGGCCACTGGATAAAACGTGCCTAACTGTTGATGTTACCAAAAAAACAAAGGAAGATTATGGCCACCCGCCAAGGGAAGGTGCATACCTCCACGGGCTCTTCATGGAGGGTAAGACACCTGAGGAGGAAGTGGGGAGCCTTTTCTTACTCAGGTTCAGATCAATGTTGGGCCTCTGCTTACGGTCTCTCAGCATCTCCTCACACAGTAACCTTATGCTAATCGTTATTTATCGCATTTCTTCCTCTTTCTCAACACCTGAAATGCTGGGATGGGTGTCCAATGTGAACCAAATTGTAAAATATTTGGGGTGATGGCTGTCATTTAAATTTTGCATATATGTCTGGGTATTAATGCCACAGGGTTGAGACTGAATTTACATTATTTTGCTTTTCAATATAATCATTTCAAAATCTTTCCTTGATTTAAAAACTATCAGTAAATTTGCTCCAATATTTTACAACAAGACTTCTCCAAGCCCTGAAGATGCTATTGCATAGGGTGAGTCTCTAAGAGGGGGCTAGACTATGCAATATTTTCCAAATTTATGTGGCCATGCCTTATTCTGCAGGACAATTAGTCCCTACTAAGATGTACCTTTTTTACTTCAAGTTCTGATGTAAATGAGCGTCTGGTACTTGGTGTGACAGGGAGGGAATGTGGTGAATTGGAGATTTGTTATACTTGTTTTCAAAGGAAGGGCAAACTATTTTAATGTATGCAAATTCTCTTAGAATCCCATTTCTTAAAGTTTCGCCACTCAACATGGAAGCAAAGTGGAACCTCCGCCACAGGCAGAGTAACCTACCTTCCAAAGCTCAGTCTGGCCAGCTGGTAAAAATAACCACTGACAAGCAAAAATGTGAGAAAACCAGAATGTTTATTGCATCAAACAAACAACTAGATCATCAGTAGCAACATGCCACACCATTGCAACTGTTGTGTTTTTGCCATAGGCGCCCGATGGGACACCCAGTCAGGAACCATTGTCGAAGCCCGTCTCAAGGAGCTGACATGCACAATGCCGGTCATCTTTGCGAAGGCCACCCTCATGGACAGACAAGAAACCCGACAAACCTATGAGTGCCCAGTGTACAGAAGCAAACTGAGAGGCCCCAGCTACATCTGGACCTTTAGGCTGAAGAGCAAAGAGAAGACTGCAAAATGGGTCCTGGCCGGAGTGGCCCTGCTGCTAGAAGCGTAAGATAACACGGGCCTGCCTCTCGCCTTGCGGGCGTGCAGTGAGGATTTTCTACTGTGTTGCTGCACTGTCCCCATGCACCTAATGTATCCTATTAGAACGTTTTAGTACCTCATACATGCATTCTCTTTTTTCAACACTATCCTTAAAAAGTGAAGGGGAGAGAAAAATCAGCAAATGCAGAAAAAAATATTAGAAACCTATTCTATGTCCAGTGATTGATTGATTGTAGCTTTCCCTCTGACACCCCATGGCTACCTCAAGACAAAAAAGTACACCTGAGGCTGGGCACGGTGGCTCACGCCTGTAATCCCAGCAGTTTGTGACGTTGAGGCAGGAGGTCAGGAGTTTGAGACCATCCTGGCTAACATGGTGAAACCCTGTATCCACAAAAAATTAGCATGGCATGAGCTATGCGGGAGGCTGAGGCAGAAGAATCACGTGAACCTGGGAGGTTGCAGTGACCTGAGATGGTGCCACTGCACTCCATCTATCTCAAAAAGAAAAAACAAGACAAAAGTACATCTAAACATACAACTACAAAAGAAATGCAGCCACAAAAAAGGGGGATTTTTTAAACAGCAAATTAAATTAAAAATTTTTACCCCCTACATTCTTTTCAAAATATAGAATCAGCAGGCCCCACCTGAGTCCTGAAGACAAACGCTGGTACTCCGAGCCCTCCAGTGTCTACAACATTGACTGACTGACTGACTGTCCCCTTTTGTTCCGTCAAGTTTAAATAAAACTGTCCTACTCTCATCTTCTGTGGTTAAATTGCACTTTGTTCAGTATAAATTCCCAATGACTCAGAGCAGGTTAAACGATATGTGTGGTCTGCTGAACTGTGGTCACTCCTGCTAAGGCAAACTAAAGGATATAGGACCCCTGTACAGACTTGGCCTGGAGTTACTGTTTGGGAAGCGAAAGATCAACAGGAGCTGCTCATACAATGTTTTCTAACTTACCTGAACTTTAACTCCACCCTGTTTAAAGTTTAAATTGTGCTTTTTAATCATTGGCAGATACTTTTAACAAAATACAGAATACAAACAGGTCTGTGTATACAACTATCTAGATTCCTCTGCTCTGCTGTCTTCCTGAGAAATGTCTGTAAGCATATAAACAATCTTTTTAAAAAAAATAGTATTTAGAAACAGTAATCGCTATGAAGAATTTCTATATAAAAACACAAATGTAAAAAATGTTAGGCACAAATGGTATGCATGTCTCACTGGAGTAGTCTATGGTGAGGTGGCTAGTTCCATTTTCCTGTTAATTGTCTTCTACCAGCTGCTTCTGTAAGCTGAGAAAAAGATGAAAAGTATTTGGTAAGTAGTTAGGCAACATTCTAGGCTGGAGAGAGTCCACAATCATCTAAGTACAAAGCCAGAACCCAGATCTCCTGACATTCTAAGCATCACTAACAGGACACCCTCCATTCGAGTATGCCCGAAGCATGACGTCCCGCACACTCACGTTCTGTCTCCTTGTCCTAAAGTGCACACTGCCTCAACTTTCTCTATGCATTAGGGTTATGGCTGCGTCTGGCTCTTCATAGACTGTGCCATTTCTCCTAAGCCTGCCTTGTTCACTCCTTCCATTTCTGACATACACCTCAAGAAAAAATCTTGGTTAAAGGCCACGTGGAGTTGAAAAATTTAGCAAAGGAGAATATTCCCTAATAGGGAAAATATCAGGCCTGAGCTTCTCCAATGCAAACAGATGTAGAATGGCACTCGTGCTTTATAAAAATCGGTCCAAGAGGGTCTCCCATGCTCAGCCTGGAGATTTCAAGATCTGTAAACTGCTATAGACTTACCTCTCCAGATATTCCTTAACATTGTTATAACCATAAAACTTGGCCAGATGAATGAGGATTCCTGTGGCACAGCGGCCGTCACGCTTCCGACAGTAGCTGCAATTGCAGATCCCACGACAGGGAGGACACACCCAATCCTAACAGAGATGACAGCAGAAACTTCCCTCACTATCTGCAGGCTCTGGCCAGAGCTGAGATTTGGATCCAGATGGGCTCAACTGGCCTCTCCCCCAACTTTTAATCACATGGCATCTTTCAGTCTATGCCGCAGGGGGCTCCTCATGAGGCAGGAAGGCTCATCACCCCATGTCACATGAAAACACTGAAAAACAATGGGTTTCAAGGCCCCCTGCTTAAAACTTATGGAGAATTTCACCAGCATTTGGCCAAGCATAGGGCCCTGTGTGAGTGTGCAGGTCACAGCCCAGAATGTCAGCCATGGTTTAGGAGCACAAGGTTTCTAAAAGATCAAGGTGTGAATTTCAGCCCTTCTGTTGAATGACTAACCCGACCTGAGCAGCAGTTTACGTTTGTCTGTCAATTGAGGATGATATATTTACCCCATCACTGTTGCCTAAGAGGTCATACTTGGTAGCAGGACTGCCCCAGGCTCAAGGTTGTGCTTACTAACCGTGATACTATGTCTTATTTACTGAGGGAGCTGAGGCAGAGAGGGGTTATACACCTATTTCACGGGATTAAACATTTATGATAGAGTGAGCAACACCTTGCACAGTGCCGGGCACACAGAACACAGTCTGTACTGCAATTTACACCTGTCTCAGCCTGGCCCAGAAAAAAAAAATCAGAGGGAAATCACTTTGCTGAAGGAAGGGTACAGGGATTACTTGTACAAAGCTAGACAACTGTAACCAAGTTTTTTGTTCTGACAATGGAAAATATAACAAATTATATTCACTGGTCAGCTTGCTCTCCTTCCAGAAGTCCCTATTTTTCATTTTCCGTGGAGCCTTAAGGTACAGATGGAAGGCAAAAAACCCAAGTTCTGGAGCTCCCAGTTCCCAGTGAGAGTCCAGAAGCCCCATCTTTGGCTTGCTTCCTTCACCCATACAATTTAGGACAAATAAAAACACTGCACCTACCGGGTCCAGCAATGCTGATCTGACATCCTCCCCATAGCGGTTCCGCAGGCATGGTCCACAGAACTGTCCCCGCACACCACCGCAACCCTGGTTCCGACACACCGTCTTGGTGTCGATGGTCTTCTGTCGACACTGATGGCATGTGTTACCCTAGAGGGTGAAGGCAGTGAGCAGGTGAACTCAGGGATATGCTGATGCCCATTTCAGGCCAGATGCCATCATGTGCATTACCAAGTGCATGAAGAAATACCACCTATCTCCTCGAATCAAGCAGGATTGTTTTCCTAATAAGAGCCATAGCACTGTCTCTAGACCAGGGGTCCCCAGCCCTCGGGCTAGTACCAGTCTGTGGCCTGTTCGGAACTCAGATGCACAGCAGGAAGTGAGCAGCGGGTGACTGAGCATTACTGCCTGAGCTCTGCCTCCCTGTCAGATCAGCGGCAGTGTTAGTTTGTCACAGGATCACAAACCCTATTGTGAATTGCAGACACAAGGGATCTAGGCTGTGCTCCCTTTTAAGAATCTAATGCCTGATGATCTGATGTGGAACAGTTTCATCCTGAAACCATCCCTTTCCTGTCCCCCCAAATCCATGGAAAAATGGTCTTTCACAAAACTGGTCTCTGGTGCCAAAAAGGTTGGGGACTACCGCTCTAGAATGTAAGCATCACAGGTTTGGGCCATGGAGCACATGAGGTCAGATGAGGCTCAGAGAGCCGGGAGGAATGAGCCGGGAGGAATGAAATGATCAGACTGTCAGGAAGAGAGACCAGGGGAAAGCTTAAGGCAGGGGTGGCCGAGCCCCTGACAGGTGACTAAGTGGCAATGAGCCTTGGATGGCATCACCTCGGCTCCACCCTAGCTCTGCAGACCTGGATATCTTCAATATGAAATCTATTTTTTTTTAAATATTAGCAACTAAATGTAAAGCATTTTAATACTATCTTAAGACAGTGTCGCACTACTTGTCTAGAAAACACATACAAAAGCAGAATACAAAGCCTCCCTCTAAATCACCATTTAGAAGAAATTTAACCGGTTTCCTACCAAAGATATTCTGCCAACCTTTATTTTCTACGGTTATGTTACCCCCAAATACGCTATCTTTTTTCAATATTTAAAACATAAAACTATACAATATTTAAACCATAACATTTACATGTAAAAATCCCTTTGAAACTATACCTTTGTCTTCCCTCAGGTTCTATGCATCCATAAGAGAGCACACTGTCCCAAGGGGAATTACTGCACTAAGCTGCCCCCCTTTTCCCAGGTACAGCTGACCCTTGACCCTCTGATTCAGAGCCTGGCTCTGAGCCCTTGGTGAGATGGCATAAGCCCTAATCCAGTTTAAAAACACGTGAGATTTCAAATACCAATGCCTTAGACTCCCGATAAGAATGGCAATCATGCAAATTACTCATAATATAGAATTTACCAGAACTTTATCATAGATTTTATCTCGAACAGTTATGGCGACATTTTCTAAGTCCTCTTCGGTGATATCCTCCACTGGCCGAAAAGAAGATACACGGTGACGACGTCTGTACTCCTGGCATTTCCCCTGCACAATGAACACAAGCAGAACCTAGAGTGAGCTGTTTCGAGCAGTTATAAAAAATTATAAACATTTTAAACTCTCAAAGATCTAGCACCATTCATGTTAACCCAGTCCCTCCTCTTCTATTTCCTTGCAGCCATTTCATTTCAGTATTTACTGAGATTCTGCTACCTGCCAAGCTTCCTTCTCAGCAAGGCAATACAATCATAGAGGAGAAACTCAAGGTTTTTGGTTCTTTGCTGTGAACTCTGTGGAGAGATGAACCACACTGAACAGCCAAACCCACAAATGGGTCCAAAGTTTTTCCCTCCAAACTGAAAGTGCTTGAAATGTCTAAGGCCTAAAATAGAAAAGAGGAATCACTATACTTTTCCACAAAGTGGAAACCGCAAAGCTGACTGGAGCTGTGGACAGGCCTTTACTGCCTACCGCAGGGATCAAAGCAGCGTCCTAATAAATGAGCTGCTTTTCAGCTCGGCTTGGATAAAGGATCTCTCTGTGACCAGCTTAGACCAGCACTGCTTCTCCAAGTGTGCTCTCGGGAGCAACGGCATCACCTGGGAACCAGATAGAAATGCAAGTTCTCAGCTGCTGCAGACCCACGGGATCAAAACCAGCCTTGGGTGACAGCAATGTGCATTCACGTTTGGAGCAACAGTAGCTCAGACAAAACTAATTCATATATTAGTCAGAAAATACCCCACTAATTGTCTTCCTTCTTCGGAAACTGTAAAACTCTTCTGCAAATTTGGCAGCTGAGACAGTAAAGTTCTCTAGAGCAAACTTCTCAGGAGGCCGCGCACTCCGGGTCGGGTTCATGCGTCGTGTGATCTGTCCCTCTGAGAAGGCCCGCCTCACTGTTTTCTTCCTCTGAAATCAAGAGCACAGACAGAAGCAAATGGGGACTCTCTTGAACAAAAGCCGTCTGGTGGCTGATCACCATGTATCAGTATGGGTATAATTATAAGGAGTTCTACTTACAGAAGCTGAGGTCGGGGTTCGGACTGGGAAGAAATCTGGCATTGAGTTCAATTCTGCCAATAACTGAGCAAGCTGAAGTTCAGAATAAAAGAAAGAATTTTACATAAATAGTGCTCCAGGGCTAGGTCATCCAACACCTATCTCAAGTTTTCCATTCCGCTACAGTAAGAAACCTAACTTGAATAGTTTATGTAACCCACAACACTTACACTTTTAACCTCACATGTAAAGATTTTACCTCCAGACCTGTGATGCTGATGTCATCATTCATGTGAATGAACACTAGCCTATTCCTTATATGTAAGGACAACACAACTGAAATCATCCTGACCTGGCGCATGAAATTCCAAACCTGACTTGAAGGCTAATCCAAGGTGGTGTAATTCGTTTTGTACATGTTAGTCTCAAGTTTCAGGATGTTCACAAAAGAAGCAGCTCAACTAGATTATTTCAATGGTTATTTAGAGCTCCAAAAATCTGATTTCTTTAAATAGGTTAATTTCTCATCAATAAAAGTAATTTATGAACATATTCCTAAATGGATAATAACACCAAATAAGAGGCATCAATATGCCAGATAATTTAATTAGGATTCATTTTAGTTTATACAATTATGTGTCACTAAAAAAAAAAAAAAATCAAAAAGAAAATAATTTTTTTTTTTTTTTTTTTTAGAAGGAGTCTTGCCCTGTTACCAGGCTGGAGTGCAGTAGCACAATCTTGGCTCACTGCAACCTCTGCCTCCCGGGTTCAAGTGATTCTCCTGCCTCAGCCTCCCAAGTAGCTGGGACTACAGGTGCGTGCCAAGATGCCCAGCTAATTTTTGTATTTTTAGTAGATACAGAGTTTCACCATGTTAGCCAGGATGGTCTCATCTCTTGACCTCGTGATCCACCTGCCTTGGCCTCCCAAAGTGCTGGGATTACAGGCGTGAGCCACCGTGCCCGGCCAGCTCTTAAAGATACAGATGGATACAGTGCTGAAAATTTCCCTTCGCTAAGTAAAAATGTTTCTTAGGATAAAATTAACCCAAAAGTAGGCATTCCATTTTTGTAAGTAATTTATATTAGACATATTAGCTTACATATACAGTATCACTATGTCATTCTTTTTTTAAAAGGAAAAGATTAAAAAAACACCAAAATGTTACACGTGGTAAGTGGTAGAACTATAAAAAAACACTGTCAATAAACAATTATGAAGCAAACAATGATTCTCTACAATGATCAGATTAACAGTAATTGATTACATACAAAAAACCCAAATATATTAACAAAGATTTCACCTTGTTCCATTAATTGTTCTAATGAAGACATTTTAGAGTGAATTAACACCACTGAGGTCATTTTAACACCTAAACCTCTGCCATTCCTTGAGATGTCTTAGAACCAGGGCCAGTTACCACAGAAGAGTGGTTTCTAGGTGAAAAGCTACCTGCCCAATCTGCTCCTTGCAACTCCTCCACGGACTCAGTGACATCCCACTCCCCCTGCTTTACTCTGCTGGGAACAGGCCAGTTGTTCGGCCCATCTCATCCCCAACGCCACACTATACACTCAGAACTTAGCTTGGTCAAGAGTTAGCAGCATTAGTTCATGGCACCATGGAGGGGCTAAAAATGGTCCTGGGGAGTTCTCTCTGTTCCCAAACCAGAGCTGATCATGTAATAGTTGCTTTGGGTTCTGGAAAAGAAAAGGATACACAATACCCAGAGTATATTTTCCTGACAGAAGCCAAAGCAACAGCAGCATCTATAGGAGCAAAGTGGTTCTGGGAGCCCAGCAACTGCTGCCAGAGCCTGGAGCCCACTCCCAGGGCGCCCCCGCGAGCCTCACCATGGCTTTGTTCTCCTTGATGTTCATGGTCCTTTTCAGCAGAGCATCTGAACTCTCCTGGCTCTCATCCCGAGAGTCGTCCTCAGACTCAGACGTAGAATCTTCCCTTTGCATCACCTGTCTACGGCCTTTCTTTCTTCCAAGAACTGCTTTTTTCTCATTCTGTAAGCGTGAGCTAGAAAACAGCTGCTCAGAACTGTTTTTATCTGGTTTGTTGGCCAGCTTCTTGGTGGGAAACTGAAAGGCTACTCGAAGACCAATACTACGTCTTCGAGACCTTCTTCTTCTTGGGGTAGCCTTATCTTCATCTTCCTCTTCCTCGCTCACCAAAGATGCTTTACCATCATCACTCAAATCTGACTCCACAAGCTAATAAAATAAGAGCAAGAAAAAGCACAAAGACACCGTTTCAGACCCACAAAAAAGACATGCATTTAAAACAACTCTGGTAGTATATGAGAAAAAACATGAGAAATGAAAAGCTTCCCCTTCAGATTTTGAGTTCCCTCTGAATTTCTTTTAAATGTGCAAGAAATTGGTTGATGAATAAAATCAAAGAACAGGCAATCTACTACTGAACTGTGGACCATCAAACCCATGACAGAGCTGGGTCCATTTGGAGCATCAGGCTGTAAGCAAAACACAGAACAGGGTGGGTTCCACTATCATGGGAAGACCAAGGAGCACCAGCAAGAGAAGAGACAGTCACAGAAAAGGGTACACGACAAATGTGATCTGCAGACAAGCAATGGTGCTAAGGGGGAAAAGTGCTGACTGGTCTCCTCAAATACCAGGAACCAGACTTTCAAGTAAGAGGGCAGGAGAGCTGACTGTACCTCAGGGCAGTGACCCAGGACAGGCTGATAACCTGCCACTGGGTCCTCAGTCAAGGGGCACCCTTCCCTTCTCTGGAACCCTCAGAGCCATGGGGTGAAATCAAGTCAGAAAGCTCTACAGGTTGTAGCAACACAGCACTTAGTCAACTCAAGAAATCCTCCCCCTACGTTTTCAAGTTCCACATGGTATAGGTCTCCAGCACTCAAACACTGCTCCGCTTTACAAGTGAGAACTCAATAAGTATGGAAGGCAGTAACAGGGTCACATCACCTAAGTGACATGTGATGAGACTCTCAGCAGTGGTACAGAGACAGGTTTAAGTATGTGAGATCCAGGACATCTTCTGGGCATCTTTCCGTGACCACAAGCTAGAAAACTTAAGGAACCACTATCTGGGAATTCCGAAAATCTACCAAGAACATGGAGTGGCAGCAGGAGGGACTCAGGACTCAGTTCAGGGACTCTGCCTCCTTCCCAGTGACCACCATCACCCCCCAAATTCTAGCTGGACTAAAGTTAGAAACAAGACAGAGGGAGAAAGAAAATGCAGATGACTGCCAACCCTGGTGTAGCCACACCAAGCCTAGGGAGAAATAAGACTGTACGGCACTGATTTTTCTATCTTTTTAATACCCTGACCTTTCCACATTAGTTTCCACATTAGTAGCTTCAGAATTCAAAATAGTGTAGTGCAAAGGAACCCAATTTTAGGGGGCACTGTCAGGGAAGAACTGCAGTTTTGATCCATTTATCTTCCATCCTTATCATCTACAGGCCTCTCTTTACCACAGACAGATGTGGAACAGCTCACTACAGAGGCCTGGAGGAAGGGAAGAACAAACTGTCCACAGCAGCCCAGAATCAGACCTGAGAGTAAAGCACAGTCTAGCACGTGGATGTGGCTATGTCACATCCGGCCCACAGATCCCTGGAAACCAAGGTGACAGCAATATCCCATTTAGCAAGAATGATGGTCTCTCCAGTTCCCACAAGGGTGGGCCGGAGGTTGGGCTGGGAGGCAACCATGCGTTTCTTCTCACTGGATTCTAAAATAAAATTTGCAGGGGCCTGTGCTGAACGTACGCCATATCATGATCTGTGTAAAACATCACAGTGCACAGACGTGGGGGCAGGTGGGAGGGAAGACTTCTGGGGTAATTCACTTTCTCTCACTAGAAACACAAATGCTTCAAATAACCAGACATCACTTCACTAAAGAACAGAAGACAAGTAAGTCACTCAGACATAATGCCCATTAGGGGTTTAGAAGGATCTTAATATCTTGCTGGCAAGAAACTGAGGACTTTCTGGCCGGAACCAATTAACTGCCACACAAACAGCTTCTGCAAAGAGAGCCAAAGGAGAGCTGGGGCCTCCAGGCTAGCACAGCTCTATGTTGCTAATCATGGCAAAAAGTCACCATCAAACAAAGCAGCCTACCATGAGAGCTTTTATACTCTAAGTCCTCTCCTAGGACAGGTGAGGGACAAGGCCAGCCTAGGAGTCACGGCTTGTTTATACCTCTACACAGGCTCTGTGCCAAAAGTTAGTCCTAAGCAGCTTCTGGCTGTGAAGAGGCTTAAACTCTACGTTCCATCTTCATACTGAAGAAGAAAGCAGCATTTTTTTTTTTTTTGCATAAATGTATGCTATTTTTAGTTAGCGTAAGTATATTTCTTTTCTTAAATCCAAAGGCTGTGCCTTAAATTTACCTTAAGATTCAAACACAACTGGGCAGTCAACTAGCCTAACTGTGCAGAATAACATGAAGAGATCAACTAATAAGTCTGCTCATAGGAAGTGCTGAGAGCAGACTTCCCTCCAGAATCCAGGCGGGTCATCTTTAACACTAAAAAGCATGACAAATCCAAATCCACAGTGCACGGAGAACACCAAGTTTGTACCACAGCCAAATGCCACATTGACTTCAAACCAAAAACTATCACTTCACACACAGTAAGAATCTCAAGAAAACGCGGAGATAAATTCTTTTAATTTTTTTTTTTTTTTTTGAGATGGAGTCTCACTCTGTCACACAGGCTGGAGGGCAGTGGTGTACTCTCAGCTCACTGCAACCTTCAACTTCCAGCTTGAAGCGATTCTCCTGCCTCAGCCTCCCGAGTAGTTGGGACTACAGATACTCGCCACCATGTCCACCTAATTTTTGTATTTTGAGTACAGACACGGTTTTACCATATTGGGCAACCTTGTCTTGAACTCCTGACCTCAGGTGATCCACCAGCCTCGGTCCCCTCAAGTGCTGAAATTACAGCCATGAGCCACCGTGCATGTCATTTTGAGAAGGACAATAAAGGATGCCTGGGACACATCCCCAAACCCCACAGGAACAAGGGGAAGATTCTCTAAGAGAATAATGGACTGGTGGACCAGGGATTAGCCTTCTAGAAGTGGTTTTTTTTTTTTTTTTTTTAGGTTATGTTAATTAGCTTGAAAGATAAATATGTAAGAAAAAGTAAAATCTTTTCACTCGTGTGGTGACTTCTTACAAGTAAAACTCTAATGCAGAAACAGGATGACAAACCTCACCACCCACATCCCTTCCGTTTTAATTATTACCATTACTTCTGGGTTAGTCTTTCCATTCAGATCACTCTGTGTAAATCCTGCAAAATCCTCAGTCTCTGAGTCAGTGTCCTCTATAAAAATTCTTCTTAGCTCTTCAGTGAAGTATTTGGAATGAAAGCGCATATCCTGCTAAATTAAACACACACATACATCAGAGGCAGAAAGTAGAATAGAGGGGAAGGGGAATACCAGGGAAGGGGAGAATGGGGAGCTACTGAACAGGTGCAGAGTTTCTGATGCAGATGATGTAAATGTTCTGAGATGGATGGTCAACAATGTCAATGTAATTAATGCCACTGAACAATATACTCAAAAACAGGTGAAATGGTGTATTTCATGTAATGTATACTTTACCACAATTAAAAAAAAGAAAATACTGGCCAGGTGTAGTGACTCATGCCTATAATCTCAGCACTTTGGGAGACCGAGGCAGGCAGATCACTTGAGCTAAGGAGTTCAAGACCAGCCTGAGCAACATAGTGAGACCTCGTCTCTGCAAAAAATACAAAAATTACCTGGGTCTGGTGGCATGTACCTGTAGTCCCAGCTACTCAGGAGGCTAAGGTGGGAGGATTAGCCACACCTGGGAGGTCGAGGCTATAGTGAGCTGCGATCACACCGTTGCACTCCAGCCTGGGTTGCAGCTGAGCTCACACCACTGTCACTCCAGGCTGGGTGACAGAGACCCTGTCTCAAAAAACCCATATACATACATGTATATTTTATATATATACACATTAGTTCTAAAGCTTACAAAATTCAGACCTACAAATCAGACACTTTTTAAAAATCAGCATGGGTGTTGTCTCAATCAGCTTCTAACGTGACTGGTAAGTGCTCATGGAATTCAGCTTCTCCTGCCAAAGCTGGCAACCAGAAACGTCTGCTTTCACACAGAACCAAAACACATGGAAAGAAGACATGAGGAGAAAACCTGGCTCCCTCCCACGTGCTGACTTCCCTTTCCAACAGCCTTTCAAAGCCAGAGTCTCCTCCAAGTGGGTGAGCATGCCTCCTGTTCACCAAGAGCAAGTTTCCCTGTAGGAAAAGGCTGGGTCCTCTCCCAGCCCTCACTACCCACCACCAGAGAGCCTAGACTTGCTCCACGACCAGACACACCTGATGGAAAGCTCAACCAAGATCACCTCCAGGAATTTCTCTTCTGCATGAGGTGAGAAGTGAGCAACCATGGCAAGGTGTCAAGTGAGCGGAAGGAAAGATGCAATGTGGCTCTTTAAGAAAAGGCATTTTCTAATAATGACTTTTTCTTTCTTTTGAAACAGTACAAAGAAGGAAACCCAGATCTTTTAATACTAGGCTTGAAAAAAAAGAACAAACTGCAGGCCAACGGGAGACCTGCAAGACCAGCCTCCTGCCAGGCTGCCACACCTCATCGGGGCTCGAGTCTGTCCCCAGTTTCCTTTGCCATCTCTTCCCCACCATCCCTGATAGCAATGACCCCTCTTAACACCGCACTTGGCTGAGAATCTGTATCTCCCCCCTGCCTTTCCTCAACTGTAATTATATATGTCTTCAAGCTCATATATCTCTGGAGAAAAACAGATATAATGGACAAGTAGAAAAACTTACAGGGGCAAACAGAAAGAAATGTCTCCATCTAGCATTCTGTACGCTTAAAAATGTCTCCTATGAATTATTATGGGTAATTGGAGTGAGTCTGCTCAGAGCTAAATTACTTTGTTCCTTTGTTGATAGCTGTAGTGCAGCTGCTTGAAAAAAAAAAATTGCACACACAAAAGCGAAGTTTCTTTAAAGTGAAATTCAAATCGTATTTAAGGGAGACCAGAGTTAGCATACACATGCTGTGTGCAAGTTCACGCAGCTTCTGTTGGCTAAATGGATCTTGTGCGTGTGGGGTCAGGGTAGAGAAGTAGCAGGCCAGGGCTTGATTATTAAGGAAAAATGGTATACAGCTGCTGCTAAGGAAACCCAACACGCACCTGAGGCCTCTCAGTGCATGAAACATCTGGCTCACAGAGCCTTGGGCAGCCCATGCAGGCTGATTTGGAGCCGTATTTCTGTGTGTAAATTTCATCAACTACTTAAAGCCCCTGCCTAGGCCCTGAAGAGAACAGAGCAAGCCTTGAAGCAGTGAGTTCCCATCTTCCATTTTTTTCTGGTTCTTTCAGTCCTGTGTGCTGGCCTCACAGGGCAATAGGCAGCCAGGGAGACGATGGTCAGTCCTGATAGAGAAAAACAACCTACCATTGTGAACTGAGGCCTATGCTTTAGTTTCTTTACTCCAAAGTGTGTAAACACTGTTTTTCACATGGGTCTATAGGACATCAATCTCCACTCTACACTGTTCCACTGCATTCTTAGTTTCAAACCCTTGCACTGCTAGTTGCTCTCTGGCACTGGTTGATGCTCCTTCAAAATCAATTCTGGGCACTATACTATGGGCCTTGGTCATCTACCATGATCAGGACCATAAGCAAGTAACACATCAGAGGAAAAGCTAACCTAGGTCGATAAGCTTTTTATTTTGAAGCCCACGTGACACGAAGAAACAGACTAGAGAGCAATGGCCTGTTGAACCAGACAAGCAGACAAGCACCCCATTTCAACTGCACCCTGCAAACAAAACCCCCCCGTGCTCACTGTATACAGTCAGGTGGAGCCTGAAACGAGACGAAAGGGACGATACATGAGGACAAAAAGTCAGAGCCAGGGAAGCTAGAAAGCACCATTCAAGTATGAGTCCCCCCTTCTTCAAAGAGTTTATAGTCTAAGAGGGAGGCAGACCGGTCCACGAATAACCCTGGTGAGGGTCAGTGCTCCAAGGGATACTCAAGCAATACAGCACACGGAGGGAAAGAAAACCCAGTTAGACTTCATGGAAGAAGTAGCATAACTGGATGTGAGCCAGGGTAGAGGCTAGAAAAACGGTGAGAGCAGACAGGCAGGAAGAACAGCATGGACCAGTGGGCAGAAAGGGCAGAACAGTGGATAATGATAATGTCAGTGCAGTTCCTGTGCCCTGTACCATTGCAGGTAGGAAAGAGGCCCCACGGGATAAGAGGCTGGGAAGTGGCGGCCCTGGATTTGGAATATCCCAGCTTGCTACTTCCCAGATGTGGGGCCTTGGGCAAGTCATTTCATCTCCCTGAACTTCAGTTTCAGCACTTGCAAAATGGGGATAGTAACAACACCGGCAGCTTCCTGGGAGGTCTGTGGATTAAATGTAGTATCTGTATGAAAAGCAGTTGGCATACTTTCCTCCCTGGGGAGGAAAGACCTGACTCCAAAAGCAGTCATCATAGCAACAGAAGCAGCTGTTCTGTTTCTTAATGCCCAGTGCCTGCCAGGCTCTGTGTTTAGCACTTTAGACATGTTCTGCCCTGCTCAAATGCTCCTCAAGGTGGATCCGGCAGGCTCTACTCTCCCCACTGCCTGACTGTGATCAGATGGAGGGCTGGGCAATCTGAGTAAGGGAGGAGCCGACTGGAGCTCAGTCCTGTAACAGATCCTAGTAGGAAGGGATGAGCCTTCAGGTAAGAGCTACAAGGGCTTCCGCAGCTGCAGAGGGAAGGGAGGGACAAACACGAGGAACACAGCAGAAGTTTCATCAACTCCTAGACGAATGCTGGGGAAATGGAAGAGGGAAAGGAGGGTCAAGAACAACAAAAGATGGAGATCAAGATGGGGAAAGGCGGAAGCCAAAAAGACAACCAAGGGAAGGAAAAGTGAGTTTCAGATCTCCCTTAGCAACCAGTCCAACTGGTAGTCAGAAACCACCGGGGGCTGGAGAGAGAAGACAAGCTCCACAAAAGACAGCACCAGCTCAAAGCAAGACAACAGACAAGATCGCTAAGTAAGAAGATTGAAGACAAAACCTTAGAGAACATCCGCATTTAGGGACAGGAAAAATAAGCGACATTACCAAAGAGCAGGCTAGGTGCAGTGGCTCATGCCTGTAATCCCAGCACTTTGGGAGGCCGAGGCAGGCAGATCACCTGAGGTCAGGAGTTCAAGATCAGCCTGGCCAACATGGTGAAACCCTGTCTCTGCTAAAAAAAAAAAAAATACAAAAACTAACCAGGTGTGGTGGCACACGCCTGTAATCCCAGCTACTCAGGAGGCTGGAGCAGGAAGAATTGCTTGAACCTGGGAGGCAGAAGTTGCAGTGAGCTAAGATCATGCCACTGCGCTCCAGCCTGGGCGACAGAGCAAGACTCTGTCTCAGAAAGAAAAAAGAGCAAAAGGTGTGTAACAGAGAAGAAGTAACCCAGAGGTGAAGGACGTGGCTAGTAGGATCAACTGCTGTGAAGATGTTAAATGAGACCCGGAGCAGAGACCAGGGAGCCCCTGGTGATCTTGGAAAGCACAGCTCCCACCCAGGCCAGAACTTACAGTGTCCCACATAATTAAGCGGGTACTTCACTTCAATATAATTCACTGCTTCCCTTCCTGTACTTGTCAGGTAGAAGCAAGGTGGGCTTAATTTGCTGCCTTTTTGGAGAAGTCATGGTCAAGGGAGAATGAGGACTTCTGAGTGCCGCAATCAACTCAGAAGAAAATGCCACTGAAAGGTAGAGATTCTGATTGGCCATTCTACTACTAGGACACAATGTGAACCTCCAGGAATCTACTTCTCAAAGAACTGTAACTTGTGCATGCTAGAGATCAAAGTCATTAACGCAAGAATAAGCCTCTCCCCAGCAATTCCAAGAGTGGCGTGTCAACAGAATTGCACCGCAGGACCACAGAGGTGCAATTGTCTCCCAGTAACCACACGATCCCCCATGGCTTGCCGTAGCCTCGCCTCTGTGGGAGGACTCTGAACACAGCGTCGCTGCATGTTACAGCCCCAAGGCAGCCAAGAAAATGCACTTGATCATGTGAGGTCCCTTTATTTAAAAAAAAAATCCCCGAATTATGGTACAGAAAAGGATTAACACATTAAAGTGAACTACGTTCTCTCACCAGTTTTTTTAAAACAGGAAGGCATAACATTTCTAAAATAAAATGCTAGACAATGAACTGATACCACGAATCTCACACTATGTTCAAATAAAGGAACATCCAAACCAAGATTCAGGCTTCCAGATAAACACATCTGCTTGGAAGGAAGCATCCGTACCTGTTTCCCTGACTCCAGTGAGTCAAAACTATCGCAGCTCTCCTCTGACGAGAGGGTTTCCATGGGAACATCATCTCGGAAGCCCACGAACTCTTCATCATCACTGGGGGCGTTAAAGATATCAGCCACTTCTTTAGGGATCTGTTTTGGATTCAAAAGAGGCGGGATTAAAGCAGGGGTTCTTGGTAATCACTTAAGGACATTTTCTGGAGGGCAGTAGAGATCTCACCACTTCATCTAACTGCCATGGTTGCCCAGAAGTCCCCAGTAACCCTGAGTAAAACATGCTTCAGCTAAGACCTCATGGCAAAATAAGGGTGTGTGGAGGGGGAGATAAAACTTAAAATTCCAGACATACACCCTATTTTACAGAGAATGTTAAAACCAGGCCAGAGAGAAGACATTTTTGATCTCTTGACAAAAATAAAAATTTCTTCTGAGAACCAATGATCTCTTTTTTTCTCCCACAGTGGATGCATCTTTAAATGTCATCTACATAAAAAGGTTGCCATAAAATATGATTTAGCTCTTTTCTTAATGTTCACCTACATTATTTATTTTTCTCTTCTTTGTCATAGGCTGACTCAGAAAGTAGAAAGTTCATACAATGAAATAAGTAGCTTTCCTTCCCTTCAATATTGTAAGTCAACTTAAGTAGTTTGAAATGAATTCCGAGGGAATTTAACTGCTATTAGGGGACGACTGACCCCAGAGGGGACACTGTCAGCACACTTAATCCACAAATATGTATCTGCTGGAGTTCATTTTTTAAGTTGACTATTTTCTCCCAAATCTTTGTTTTAAAAAAGTTCAAACACACAGAAAGGTGAAAAAAATAGTACAAACACCTGTCAATTCATTATCTAGAGCCACTATTTGTCACTGCATTTGCTTTCTTTCTCTGTTTCATCGAATATTAAGTTGAACCGTGGGCATGTGATGTATTTGGCTGTTTTTAACCTAGGAAAACAGCATTTAATAGGAGCCAACCTCATCCATATATATCCACACACTGATTAAAGTAATTTGCAGACATTGTATTGATTGGCCCTAATATAACTCAGCATGTAACTCCCAAGGATGAGGACATTCTTCCATAGCACCCACAGAACCGATGTTAATTATGTTTGGTACAGAAAACATAATTAACATTAATTTAATATCATGAGTTACTGTAATTCTACATTTTAATATCTGCAACTCTTCCCAAAATGTCTTTTATAACTCTCTGGAGACAGTAAGAGCCACAAAAGCAAGGTTTTGTATTTCATTTGATTGTTTTTTATGACATTGTTTTTGCTGTTTTCCACAACACTGACTTTTTCTTAGACCACGACAACTGCCTTGTAGAACGTCGTGTATTCTGAGCTTATGTGAGTGCTTCCTCATGATTAGATTCAGGTTACATATTTTTGGCACCAATTCTACATAGGTGACATATACTTCTCAATGCACTGCATAAGCGGGCACAAAATGTCAAGTTATTCCACTATTAATTGGTAACTTTAAGACATCTTTCATTGTAAAAACTTTCAAAGGTATTTCAAAAGTAGACGGGATATTTCAATGAGCACACATTGATCCTCCCAGTAATTATCTGCCCATGGCTAACTATGCTTCCCCTGTATCCCAACCCAACCCCTCTTCTACCAAATTCTTGTGAAGCAACCATAGACATAGTACCATGTCACTCTGCAGCATCATCAAATGCGCGGTCTGTGTTCACAATTCTTCTGCCTCATTTTTTTAAAGCTTAGTTTATCTGCATCATGATCCAAATAAGAGTCACACACTGATCAACATGGCTCATAAATCTCTTCTCATCACTCCTTTATCTTTTTTTCTCTTGCAGTTTATTTTTGAAGAAACTGGGTAATTTGACTGTGGAGTTTGCCCAAGTCTGAAGGGTTTTTTTTGTTTTTTGCAGCCCAAGGTGGTGTTTAACAGGCTCATTTGGGTTTTCTATGATTTGGGAGTTGAATCTGGAGGCTCACTTCTAGTTTGCTTGCTTTTGCCAAAACTACTTAAGTGTTTGTAGAAGTTCTTTCTTTGGAAAGCATGTAAGGTCTGGCTGTCTCTTTTTTTAGCGGTGCTGCTGTTTGGTCAACAAGTTAAGGTGGAATCAGCCTGAATTCTTCTTTGCTTAAAAAAAAAAAAAAAAAAAAAAACACGGTTTCTCCCTTGTTACTAATAAGGAATATGCAGAGTGATACTTGAGATTCTGTGAATATCTTTCTCCGTAATAACATCTCACTCAACAGTTTAAACATCCACTGACAATTTTTTTTTTAATTTTTTATTTTAATAAAGACAGGGTCTGTGTTACCCAGGCTGGTCTCAAATTCCTTACCTCAAGTGATCCTCTCACTTTAGCCTCTCAACGTGCTGGGATTACAGGCGTGAGCCAGTGCACCCCTGAATCAATTACTATGTTAAGGGGCTGCAAAACAGAAAGTCTCAAAAAGTATCTCTCTCCTTTATAAAGTAGCTGGCATTCTTGTATAACATAGTGTTTCTTTCACTCTCCCCCTTTTCTTCTACCAGGTATATCCATGGATTTTTTTTAACATTATTATTCAATGTGTTAAAATCCATATTGTCATACTTCTTTCTGACTGTCCCAAATTTGGTCATTGGGAGCTCCTTTAAGTCATCCTCTGTCCTTCTGACATGGCACTAGGGGTCTTTCAACACCTACTTTCTACAACACCTACTTTCTACAAAAAGCATGGCCAGCTAACCGTGTGCATTTCCTGTCCCAGACTTCAAATCAGCCATTTCTCCAAGGAGCCCTAGAACCTTTCTTGGAAATGGCATTCAAAAACCAAGTTCGGAGAACACGGTGTACCTCTTTGTTAATGAAATATCATTGCTTGTAGACTCTTTGGACAGAGCAAGGATATTGTAAATACATAAATCACAAGTTGATGGTGACACTGTGAATTCAAATCCAACATGGATGCTTCTTTCTCTGCTCCCTCATCCCACATTAGCATCGCCGTTCCACCACAAGGAAAACCCTCGACTCCCAACATTTTTAATATACTTATCCATGCGGTGCTCTATCTACAATAAATACAAAATAGTGCAAAACTGATGCCACCGACAACAAACAGTGCAGTTCAAGATTTCTTTGCAGTTCTTTCGGGCCTTGGACATAGTCCCACTGCACAGGAGATCTTTTCCTCCAACTGACCAGATGATCATTGCACTTGGATATGCAAAAATGCTTTACATGTACTTTCTCATCATGCGGTATATTACCAAGATGTCCTTAACTGTCGAGATTTAATGATTTTTACTGTTTCATCAAAACATTCTTATGTGAAATTGACATTTTAAATTGAGTGCATGGAGGTGAATAATGCACTGACTACTACTATAGTTTGCTGCTACCACCTGGATTCCTGCTAAAGGTGAGAAGTTTTCTCCACTTTGGCTTTTGCGAAATCAGTGCAAACATCAACACAGCAAAAAGGGCAAATAATGTCTCAGTATTATGATGACAATACATTCGCCCTCATGTACTAGTGAAAAGGTCTCAGGGTCCTCCATCTCACACTTTGATCACTGTACTGGCATACACAGAGTTGTGTATTCAAAAGCTACTTAGCTCCTTGGAATTCTCTGTTTAGGTGTGTTGACTTAATTTTGCATTTAGTCAGGTTCATTTCTTGATTAAAAATAATTAGAAAATAATGGTTTAATCAAAGGAATTGTAACATAAATACAGAGATGGAATACTCCCAAGTTCAGTGATGCTAACGGGTTAATACAAACACTTTCCCCCCATCTAATAAAATAATCTCAAGTTACAAACAGGAATAATACTTATAACAGAAGTAGAGTTCCACTGACATATTTTTTGCCAGCCACATGCAGGGCAGCACTAGCAAAGCCTAATTCTGACATCGTTCTTGGGAAAAATATTGAAACTTTTCTTCAGGAGGTATGTTTAACAACATTTGCCACCTTATCTTGTCAAAGACACCTTTTGCTGTTTAGCACTCAGAACTCGGAACCAATATGCAAGGAAAACACCCAGACTAGAGAAACAGACAATATTTAATGAAAGTGAGCCTATGTTGTAGTTACATGACAGCCACTGAGTTCAGTCCCTGCAAAGGCAATGAGAGGGATATTGTGTCAGTTTCAGTCTTTCTCTTTTTGACTTCTCACCATTCCACAAAAATCAAAAAGCCCTGCTGGCCCAGAAGCTTCTTTAAACATAAACGGTTTAAAGGAGGAGGAGCACCCCATCCATGACATACAAGGAATGGAGAGGGTCAGTGATAGGAATAAAGTGCTTCCAGCAGCAACTGCATTAGTCCCTGTGCTATTGTGTTCAGCCCACCACTGCTGTGAGCCTGTGTCCGCCTCGCTAATTCCTCCTGCAACTTTTGACTTCCGCATCTGCTCCAGAGGTACGATTAGGGGCCTGTAATTACTGATTAGGAACAAAAGGAAAGAGCAAACTTTCAAAAACACTGTGTATTCTTGGGGCATGCTGGGTTCTGATCCTTGCTGAACTTTAAAAGGTATTAAAAGAAGAGCTTCAGATAGTCACAAGCTTCCAGATTTGGCGCACACACACACACACACACACAATTCTGTACAACTGTCATCAATGTAACGACTGATTTAACAGATGCAACAAAAGGCAGCAAGATATGTGTGAGAAGGACCTGATAGAAAGGATACACAGGGATACTGTTCTAGTGAATGACCAGTTCCACAGAATAGCAATACTTGAGGCCCAAGGATCTGTCATTTCCCTGTTCCATTCAGCAGTGATCCACTGGGTAGCTGCATAGTCTAGACAAAATGCAACAGATTTTTTTTTTTTCAAAGTTTATGTTCCATTCTATTCCAATGCCATCATATGACTCACCAAAAAGATAGCTAAAGCAAGTAACTGAAAACAACACAAATACAAAATTTCTCAATCACCAGATGGTATTTACATTAGTTCTTCTAATGTAAATTAGAACTTCCACAAAATTAGGATAACTACAATCTAGCAAACCAAAAAACAAATTATTCCCATCTGAAAGTGAAAAGACTGATTATTTATAAATACTTTTTAAAAATCAACAACTTTATGCTAACTCCTTTCATGTACAGTATCTCTCTACTCTGCCTTTCTTGGAATTAACAGTGTGAATATCATCAAAATTCATGTGGGGGACCAGGATTCAATTCCCTGGGAATACAGGTACTAGAAGGCAATCCCCAGGTACCTAACACAGGGCCCAGCCTATAGCAGGTGATCAGTCAACCCTTGTTGAAAGCATTTACATGCATCTGACTTTGTAGTCATTTTCCTAAGAAAGGCATACTTTACTAGAAAAGTACTAAGTCAAAAAGGTACACTCTGTGGCATTCCTACATGAGGGGAATTAAGAATTTTCACCCAGAATCCTAGGACATCCATCTACAAAGCAGTCATATTCCCAGCTTCTCTTTTGGAAAGGACTGCAGGTTTCCCTAACAAGCCATACAAATTATCCAAGAGCTCTTACATTTTGCGAACTCAACAGGCTTTGGGGCCAAGCAGGTGGGCAACAGGGCAGCAGGTCAGCGGTAGGACAACATGAGATGGTGCTGACTGGTGGGCAGAACACATATATCCAGGAAGGGAGGCCACTCCTCCACTCCAGCTGATCACTGCCCTGCAGGAACAGGGGTCTAGTGTGCCTGACCTCCAACATTTCCAGAGAAGCTACGAATCTGAGTCTTGCTAAGAAACATCCCATCTACAGACTGGATCTGAAACTTGTTCAGGAAACACACACAGTGGAACTCATGGGGCTTTGTGGAACACCAAGGAAAAGTGTAAATGCCAGAAATCCAAATATTACCAATAGCGTTAATATATCTACTAGTGCCCAGTAGTAATAGTTGAGGGTACCAAAGTGTTAAGAATATTAAGGAAAACTAAACATATCCTTTCCCTTGTTCATGGCAGCATTATTCACAAAAGCCAAAAGGTGGAAGCAATCCAAGTATCCATCAATGGATAAATGGATAAACAAAATGTGATACATACTTATCAACAAATATCATTCAACATTAAAAAGGAAGGAAATTATGACACATGGCACAACATGGGTGAACCCTGAAGACGTTATGCTAAATGATAATAAGCCAGTCTCCAAAAACCAAGAACTGTATGACTCTACTTGTAACAGATACCCAGAATGGTTGAATTCTTGGAGACAGAAAAGCAGAATGGTGGTTGCCAGATGCTGAGGGGAGGGAAAAACATGGAGTCTTTGATGGATACAGAGTTTCAGGTTTGCAAGATAAAAAGAGTTCTGGAATTTAAATATGCTTAACACTATTAAACCATACTTTTAAAAATGGCTAAGATGGTAGATTTTATGTAATATGAATCTTAGCACAATTTTTAAAAATTCAACCAAAAACAAGACTAATTAAGAAAGCCAGGCACCATGGCTCACACCTGTAATCCAAGCCCTTTGGGAAACCAAGGCAGGTGGCTCACCTGAAGTCAGGAGTTCGAGACTAGCCTGACCATCATGGAGAAACCTGTCTCCACTAACAATACAAAATTAGCTGGATGTGGTGCTGCATGCCTGTAATCCCAGCTCCTCAGGAGGCTGAGGCAAGAGAGTCACTTGAACCTGGGAGGTAGAGGCTGCAGTGAGCTGAGATCGCACCATTGCACTCCAGCCTGGGCAATAAGAGTGAAACTCTGTCTCAAAAAAAAAAAAAAAAAAAAAAAGACATTTTAGTATCCCAGCACTGTGGGAAGCCAAGGCAGGAAGATCCCTTGGGCCAGGAGTTTGAGACTAGCTTAGGCAACATGGTAAGACCCCATCTCTATCAAAAAAGACACAAAAATTAACCGGGTGTGGTGGTGTGGGCTTTGTAGTCCCAGCTACTTTGGAAGGATCAGGTGAGCCCAAGAGTTAAGAGGCTGCATGCAGTGAGATGACCTCACCTCTACACTGCAGTCAGGGTCTCAGCAAGACCATGTCTCTGAAAGGAAAAAAAAAAAAAAAAAAATGTAAAAACCAGGGTGGAGGGGAATTTTTCCTTCCTTAAGTGAATGAAATCTTCCAAAATGACACAATAAGTCCAGACCTTAGCCTGGTTTTAATGCTACCATCAGCTTA